ACTTACGTGAGGATGCTTTTTGTGTTTAAAACAGAAAAAAACGCCTATATATGTGCACACATACATGCACGGATGCTAGTCTGCAAAGGTTAACAACAGACGGGGACGTGGGAGCCAGGGGAAAATGTTTTTACCGTGTATGTTTCCACACTATCTGAAAGTTTTTCCATCAGAATGCACAGTCCCAATCTTGCAATGGTTCGACTTACGATTTTTGACTTTAGCATGGTGCAAAAGCAGAACATTAAAGCTAGGCCTGGGCTAAGCTACGATGTTCAGTAGGTTAGGTGCATTAAATGCATTTTCGACTTATAATATTTTTAACTTAAGATGGGCTTACTGAAACACAACCGCACCGTGAGTCAAGGAGCGTATGTACGATATTCTAAGACAATCCCGCGGTAAGGAATATCATCTCTGTACTACCAGCTCTGGGCCTTAGCTGTGGACTGAATCCCAACTAGTCTCCTCTGGCTCCTAACAGCGGCGCCCACTTTGGGGCCCCTGCTCTTGGCCAGGCACGGTCACGGTCACGGTCACGGTCACTCGCGTCACAGGCCGCCACTGAATCCCTGCCCTTGCCCCTGAGGGAAGAGGGACTGAGGAGCCCACCCACACTAACTGCAGGATGACAGGGGACGTGGCCCCTTCTCTGTGGCCACCATGGCTGTCCCCTTGGCCCACGGTCCCCTGGATCCCCTGTCAGAGCCTGCTCCTCAGCCACCGCCCGTAGGACGCGACCAGCCCTGTGCGACGCAGTAAAGGGAAACGGTCTCCACTCCGAAGTGTGCCTCTCACGAGCCGGTACCTTTTGCTGCCTGCTGCTGCTCCAGGATCTTGCGGGTCCGGGGGGTGGTGCCTTTGGGCATGTTGATGATGTATTTCCCCTCCATCTCAGCGGTGACCCGGCGCCGCTTCGCGGGGACAGACAGGCTCTCCTCCTCGCGGCGGGCCAGTGCTGGTAGGGAAGGAAGGCGGGGGTCAGCTCCCTCTGAGATGGAATGTTCTCCTGGGGTAGGGGCCGGACACCAGGCAAAGGGCACACAGGTGCCCTTTAATGCATTCACACGTCTGCAATTCCTTTTCTTCCCGACCACCCACAGCACCACTGACCGGACCACTGAGAAACTCGGAGGTCAGCGTGAGGTTGCAGAAGGCACTCGGAATCCCCAGGCTGGGGCGGGCCTCCTCGGCTCTCTGTGGCTCTGTCCCTGTCCCGAGCAGGCTCACACCCCAGCCCAGCCCAAATCCCCTCAGACAGAGAGCCTGCAGGGCAGTGGAAAGTTCTAGAGCTCCAACTGGGTAGCGCTTTCACGGCTATGCTCACTTTTTAACAAGTAATCGAGCTGTATACTTACAAGTCCTGCACTGTGCATAAGTAAACTTCACCTCAATTTTTTTAAAAAAAGAACCTCTCAAATGTGTCGAGGGGTAAAAGAGCCAGTCGTTCCCTGGCTTGCCCTCTTTTCAATCCTTATAAACTCATTTTGACTTTCTTGTTCTTGGCACACGAACCAAAGGCCGGAGGGGTGAGGCACTTCCGAACACACACGACGCAGGGGAGACCTCACAACGGAGGTGGACGGGGCACGACGGGAGTGGGCGTCAGAAACATGAAGCTCGCTGGGCCTCAGTTTCCACATGTGCCTAATGACACCGTAAGATCACTGTTGTGGGGCTGGGTCCAACAAAGGCAGGAGAGTGTGGAGGCCAGGAGGGCTTGGAAGCCCAAAGGCTGGAGTCCCATTCCCAGCTTTCAAGCTGAGACCCGGAAGCGGAACAGAGGCCAGCCACGGATAAGGCTGAGGACAAGTGCTCCAGGCAAAGGGAACACGAGGGACAAAGGCCCCACGGTGGGGAGGAGGATGGAGGGGAGCTGAGCCAGCAAGCAAGAGGGAGGTGCAAGAGATGCATCCATGTTACGCAGGGGAAGACTGGACTTTCTTAATGGAATAATGGGAAGCCCTAGAGAGGAGTCAAGGCTGCTATAGGATCAGACTGAAGATCTTACAGGATCCTTTGGCTGCCAAGAGGAGGCAATAGGTTCTTTACCTTTGACCCCAAGCATCGAGCACAGGGCCAGGCACCAGTGGGGGGCTCAGTGAACACCTGTTAAAAAAGCCTCCACCACCGAGTGAGAACTGTAACGCTCGTGTGTTCCAACACATCATCGCAAGCGCTTCCAACCTTCCTCTCAGGTAGGGTATCACACCACCCGCCCCACGCAGACGTGGAAAGTGAGGCCCACAGAGGTGCAGCGACTTAACCAAGTTCACAGAAGTGATTCGAGTCCAAACTCTTTGTATACTCTGCGGCCTGCAAAGCACCTTATGAAGTTGGCAGCAGGACCCCCAAATGCCTTCTGCCAACCCATATTCACCTCCAGCTCCTGCCACCATCTGCCCGAGTCCCCTCACCTGCGGCCTTGGCACTCTTTGCTGCCATCTTATTGGACACGGTGACTGAGATCTTGGACGTGCTGGTGTCTGGCCGCCTGGGGGGCGTGCCAGGTGGGGAGTCGCGGTTCAGGCTGTTGGTGATCATTCGGGAGGCGGCTGTGGGAGGAAAGGGGAGTCCGTTTGGACTCTGGGGGGGCCCTGGGAGGCAGGCGTGAATCAGCAGTCTCGGGGCTAGGATGGAGAAGGCCAGCCTTGGGACTGAATGAGGAAGGGTCGGCTGGTGTCGCCCCTGTGGCTGTACTGTCCTCATGATGGGGATGCTTGACGCGGGGTGGACTTCTGTCCCTGTGAGAGCCTCCATTCACAATACTCTACCCGGCCGAGTGCAATACGATCAAGATTTTTTTGC